TTACAAATTACCATCTGCAGTGCAGTAGCTTAGTTTCCAGGTATCAGTATATATAGTTAGTCAGGGTGAGAATCTTTCCCAATAACTGCTAGATTTTCTATTTGTTTTTGCTTTTGTTTTTACTCTTCAAAATTAAATTAAATTAAATTTTAAAAAAATGACAGGCATGTGACAGACCAAAACTTAGCACAGCTTAAAAATTATAGATCCAAGATGGAAAATCCTCTCAACCGTACACTGGCTGGCCTGGGAAAATTGCTTAGTCTTTTTATTTCCTCCATTTTTTTATGAGCCCCATGGGGTGTGCTGGGGACAAGGTGGTGTGGAGAACCTTGACAGTACAGTGCTTGGTCCCAGACACTGTCAAAACGGAAATGTGGTGAGGTTCCAGAGCCTCTAGGAGGGTCATTTCCTCCTCTGTGGATCCAAGGGAGGGCGTACAACCCGCGCGGCACACGTGTTGCATGGGGGCCACCTGATGTGAAACCAGAAGTGTCCTGTTGTCACCTGGATGTTCTTCCTTGTGACAGGCCCTTTAAAGACCCCAATTGCAGCTGGTCACCCATCTATGAATTTACTGCTACGTAAAACGTTTGACCTTTATGCCAATGTCCGGCCGTGCGTCTCAATCGAAGGCTACAAAACCCCCTACACTGACGTGAATATTGTTACCATTCGCGAGAACACTGAAGGAGAGTACAGTGGGATTGAGCACGTGGTATGTTCAGTTCTTTTGTGTTTCTAGTTGAGTTGCTCTTTGTCTCTTACATTTTCACATCAACATGTCTTCTATCTTAGTTACTTTTCTTGTTGCTGAGAAAAGATACCCGATGCCCAAAGTTAAAGGAGAAAAGGTTTATTTGGCTTACACTTTGCAGAAGTTTCAGTCCATAGTTGGCTGGCTCCAAGGCAGAGGGGCATCACAGGAGAAGCAGTTCATGGCAGGCGGAAGGCAGCAAGCTATAAGTGGCAAGCAGGAGCCCCCTTTTTGTCCCTTCTATCCTATCTGGGCTCCCCACCCTTAGAGCAGGTAGCACTCACATCCAGGGAGGGGCAGCCTTCATCCTAGTGTCCCTGAATCAGTCACAGCAGCACATCCTTGATCCTAGCAGCATAGACCCAGCCCCCTCTGAAAAGCCTCACCAAGACCGCATGAAGCTTTTGGGGGGCATCTAGATACAAACCACAACTTCTCCCAAAGACAGATCAGTGTTACCTCTTTGAGGAGTTGGGTCTACACCTGACAGTTGAGATGGAGGAGGAGCAGGGCCTGGTGGTTCAGAGCACAGGCCCAGGACTCTGTCCATTTCACAGAAGTGCCCTGGGGCAGGCGGCCGTCTCTGGACCTTGCTTTCTGTCTTCTGCACTGCAGAATTTATTACACCTGCTCTAGCGGCCAAGGTTAACACCCAGTGGACACTTTGTGTGCCACGAGCCACACGAGCCTGCCAGCCTCATCTGGTCAACTCTGCCTGCATGGTTGTGGCCACACTCTGAGCCAGGCAGGACTCTGTCTCTCTCAGATCGTGGATGGAGTCGTGCAGAGCATCAAGCTCATCACCGAGGAGGCGAGCAAGCGCATTGCCGAGTTTGCCTTTGAGTACGCACGGAACAACCACCGGAGCAACGTCACGGCTGTGCACAAGGCCAACATCATGTGAGTCCTGTGGCAGTGCTGCTGCTCCTGCTCTGCTTTGCTGGGTGGTGACAGACCAATGCGGAGGAATGGTGGCCCAGTCCCAGGAGCTAAGGGAGGCCTGACGGTTAGCAGAAAGTAGGAAGAAAGAGTCTTGGGTCCCCGCAGCTACAGTCAGGACCTCAGTGGTGTCTCCACCATCTGCTGTGGTCCGATGGTCATGTTCTTGTCACACCCAGCCAAATGAAAGCTGTCTCTGAAATGTATAAAGAAACAACTAACCTTAGAAAAGGATTGACCATACCAAAAAAAAAAAAATTTTTTTTTTTTTTTTTTTACCATACCAAAAAAAAAAAAATTTTTTTTTTTTTTTTTTTGGCAGAACTGGGGATTGAACTCAGGCCCTTGCGCCTGCCAGGGAAGCACTTATTCTACTGAGCCATCTCCCCGGCTCCCCATGCAAAATATTAAAACCTTTTAAGTAATGGAAGGGGTTAACCCTTTAAACCATTTTTAATATTACTGAGTACTTCTTGGTTTTTGCTGGGTATTACTGTAAAAATCTAGTCTTCTCTGTTATGGTCAAACTTTGAGTTTTATGTCTTTATTCTTTTGTGCTTCCGGAAGGATTTCAGGATATTTTCTATTTTATTAACTACCTAAGAAATAGTTTTGAGGCGGGGAAATGGCTCAATGGAATAAGCGCTTCCCTGGCAAGCGTAAGGGTCTGAGTTCAATCCCCGGTTCTGCAAAAAAAAAAAGAAAGAAAGAAAGAAATATTTTTTACTAAACTAGGCCTGGTGGGGCACACCTGTAATCCCAGCACTCAGGAAGCTGAGGCAGGAGGATTTATATGAGTTCAAGACCAGCTTGGGCTATATAGTGAGTTCAAGGCCAGCCCAAACTGTGTAATGAGATCCTGTCTCAAAAAAAAAAAAAAAGGAGAATTTTACTTTAAATTTTTTTTTAACTGAAATTGAAATCAGACATTATCACTTTTAGAACTTGAATTTCTTGAACTTCTTTCATTTGGTTGTCTTCTTTCTTAAATACAGGAGAATGTCAGATGGACTTTTTCTGCAAAAATGCAGGGAAGTTGCTGAAAATTGCAAAGATATTAAATTTAATGAGATGTACCTTGACACAGTGTGTTTGAATGTGAGTACATTTTCATATTTATCTGCTACCTTCTGTGTAAACACTGTGCATGCAGTTACAGTTTTTGGTTGTGTTCCTTGTAGATGGTACAAGATCCCTCCCAATTTGATGTTCTTGTTATGCCAAATTTGTACGGAGACATCCTTAGGTGAGTTTGACTGCACCCTTTTAATTTTTGGTTTGAGACAGGCTCTCACTGTGTTGCAGGTTGGTCTCAAACTCATGGGGATCTTCCTGCATCAGCCTCCAGAGTGCTGGGATGATAGGCTTGTTCCACCACACCTGGCAACTACACCCTTTTTATTTTCGGTCCCTGGTTTATTTACAGCCCCCTGAATAAATTTTGGCTTCCCATTTTCAATCACTTCTTGTAAAATAATACAACATTTTTCATCAGATGTGAGCAGAAGTTGAACGATTCAGATGAGGGCATCAGTGATTACCTGCTGGAGGCCAGTCCTGTATTTGCCACGTCAGCGCTGGGCTCCTGCTTCCTCGTTAGTTCACTCTTTCCATTTTTCACACTTTTTGTTCAGGGCTACAAATCGAAGCCAAGACCTTCACACTGAGCCACTTGCCAGCCCTTTATTTTTTATTTTTTAAATTTCGGGACAGGGTCCCAGGTGAGACAGGGCAGCCTCTCAAATTGCTGGGATTATAGGCGTGCACCATCATGCCTGCCTTTTTTTTTTTTTTTTTTGCGGAACCAGGGATTGAACTCAGGCCCTTGCACTTGCCAGAGAAGCACTTATTCTACTGAGCCATCTCCCTGGCCCCATGCCTGCTTTTTTCAAGTGTTTTATTGGTTGACTGACTGATTTCAGTATATTGTGTTATATATAACTGGGTTAGTTAATTTAGCAAATTTTTTGCTTACTATTTTTTGTAGTGCTGGAGATCAAAACTAGGGCTTCACCCATGCTAAGCATGAACCGTGCCACTGAGCCACATCCCAATTGCAGTAACTTGGGACTTTTAGGCTTCCGGAAAAGTTGTAAGAATGGCACAAAGAGCCCCTGGGTTGGTCACATCTCAACATTTCCGCACTCACATTGGCCAGATGTGACTGTCCAGGCCATCGTCCCTTCTGCATTAGGAGTTGGCTCCCTGCTGGGAGGATGGCTCATCCTTCCTCTGGGTCTGCTGACTTAGCTGTGCCATTTGGGCTTAGGTGTTCCATTTGTTCACGGCTGTGTCCCATGGGTGCTCAGCTGGGCCAGATGGGCTGGGCTCTTTTCCCCGTGACTCCTGGTTCCAGTGGTCTCAGCCTCTCCTCTGAGCCTCGCCCTGCTGTCTGGCCCAGTGAGATATTCTAGGCTCATCTGTGTGTTCTGAATGGCAGCCACTTCTCCAGGAAACCCTCCTTCCTGTTAGTGGAGCATGGTATTTTAAAACAAAGTCTCAATGCCAGGTATGATGTTTTCCTGTTCTAAAACCCAATTGAAATGCTTTTCTGCCTCCAGTGACCTGTGTGCAGGACTGATTGGTGGTCTTGGTGTGACCCCAAGTGGCAACATTGGAGCCAATGGGGTAGCCATCTTCGAGTCGGTAAGGGACCCAAGCTAAGCTTAGGTTGGAAGAGAAGGGACGTGGTGGGGGCTCTGTGTACCCTTAGGGTTCAACTGTGCTATTTTATTTTATTTTATTTTTTATTTTATTCTTTTTTAAAAATATTTATTTGTGTGTGTGTGTGTGTGTGGCCAGCTCAGCCCACCAGGGGGCGTTCTGGCTGGCATGTGGTGCTGGGGGATTGAACCGTGGTCCCTGTGCTTTTTGCTAAGCTTGTTCTAAGTAGGTGCTTTAGACCACTGAGCCATCTCACCAGCCCCTCAACTGTGCTATTTTAAATTGTCAAAAGAATGATGTGTATTTTATAGCCTTCTTTTGTTCATTTTTCTTCAGATATTCATCATGTAACCTTCCTTGATTGTATTTTTACCAAAAATTGAAAACGATTGTTCTGTAGTTTTGCACTTTAAAAAAAATCAGCTCTGAATTTCTGCAATGCTTTACTCTCTAAGGTCTGTGTCTGTGAATTACACATGGCACCGTCAGCACACACACACGTTTGTTGGGGTGTAAGGAAGGTGATGGGGCGCTCAGGGCCAGTGCTCACAACCTACTGAGCACTGTGGCCCTGGTGTCCTTCCTGCTGATGCGGCTGCCTTCCTGCCACACAGGTTCATGGGACAGCTCCTGACATTGCAGGCAAGGACATGGCCAACCCTACCGCCCTCCTGCTCAGCGCAGTAATGATGCTGCGCCACATGGGGCTTTTCGACCATGCTGCGAAGATCGAAGCCGCGTGCTTCGCCACAATCAAAGATGGAAAGGTAACAGCCTCGATCTGTGTGTGGTGGGTGCATCCCATGTTGGGTCTGCGTGAAGGGAGCAGGTGAGAGTCCTCGGGAGAGGGGGACCGATCGATGGCAGAGATTCTTGGTGCAGATGTCCTGCGTGAGCCTCAGGAAGCCTGTGCGCTTGTGTTCACTTGCTCAGGTCAGGGCCTAGGTATTTACAGGAAAGGCCCAAGGAACACTGACAGAATCGTGCACAGCAGGAAGGACAGAGGCAGCAAAGCCCAGGTATCTGCAGTTTTGGCCAGTCCCTTCTTTTTTGTGTGATACTGGAGATGGAACCCAGGATTGTTGCACTGAGCTACCTCCTTAGCTGTTGTTGTTGTTGCTGTGTTTTTAGGTAAGGCAGTCACTAAATTACCCGGGCTGGACCCAGCCTCCTCAGCCTCAGCCTGTGCACGGGCATGCCTGGCTTGTCGAGACCTCATCTTAGCAGAATGTCTCTAAAGCTGACACCTTGATAAAGATGCTATAATTTGAGATTCCTCCTTACAACCAAAATACTAGAAGGTCAAGCTTTGTGTTTGTTTTGTTGTAATTGTTGTTGGGGGGGATGGCACATTGGTCCTCTTGCAATCTAACAAGTGCTCATCCACAGATTACACCCTGAGCCCCAAGCTTATTTTTGCTATGTTAATTTTGTTTGTTTGTTGTTTGTCTTTTTGTGCTGGGAATCAAACCCCAGGACCTTGCACTTGCCAGGTGGGTGCTGTGCAACTGAGCTATATCCGTGGCCCCTCCAGGATTATTTTTAACAGTCTGACGATAACTTTAGGGAGCACTGATTTTCCATTTATTCTGAAACTTTGAAGAGGTACATCCTAGAGTCCAGCAGAGATGCCTGAGTTATATAATAGACTTTAATTTTGCAGAATGTAAATAAAACACACACACACACACACACACACACGATGGTTTTTTTTTTTTTTTTTTAAGACAGACTGCAAGACTATGCCATTCAGGCTGGCCTTAAACTCACAGTGATCCTCCTGCTTCAGCCTCCCAAGTACTGGGATTATAAGTGTAATCCCAAGTCCTTCAAGAGAAATATATTGAGGGCTGTTTGCAATTGAGAGTGAGCTGGTAGAAAATAGACTGATTGTATGAGACTTCCTCTTGCAGTAAGGGAAACTTGTTATATAGGTTTTTTTTTTTTTTTTTCAGAACCAGGGATTGAACACAGGCCCCTGCACTTGCCAGGCAAGTGCTTATTCCACAGCCATCTCCCTGGCCAATGGAATTCTTTTTTTTTTTTTTGGCAGAACCCGGGATTGAACTCAGGCCCTTGCGCTTGCCAGGGAAGTGCTTATTCCACTGAGCCATCTCCCCAGCCCTAGTAAGGGAAACTTAAGGCACAGTTTTGTATTTGTTTTCTTTTTCTTTTCTTTTTAATTGGGAATCAAACTCAGGACCTTGCACTTGCCAGGTGGACACTGTGCTACTGAGCTATATCTGCAAGCCTGATATTTGTTTTCTAGCCTCCAAAAATAGATAAAAACATGTCTTAAGCTTTTTAAGTTTCAACAATTTCCTTTGGACTTTGTAAACCTCTTGTTTAGTTTTTCTTTTATTTAAATATGCATAGCCAGACATGATATTCTTAGGGATTGATGTATAAACAAAGAAATTTTGGTGCTGCCTTTTGCAGCAGGAGCATCCATTTCCGAGTGTTTATGGACACCCCACCCCCGTAAAGAGGTCTCCTGGTCCTCCTGGGGAGTAGATGGTGTGTGGGGGCCTAACTCTGAAAAGAAGAGCTAAATGAAAATGAGAGCCGGCAAGCTCCTTGCTCCATTCCCATCTCACTAGAGGCTTTGAGTGACAGTTTCCTTGCTGTAGTTCAGGATGTGGGTCCTTATCTATTCTTACTGTTTCTTCTCAGAGCTTAACAAAAGATTTGGGAGGCAGTTCAAAGTGCTCAGACTTCACAGAAGAAATCTGTCGCCGAGTGAAAGATCTAGATTAATAGGTCACCAGTGGTGTGTGCTGCAGCCCTGAAGAACGCCACCTCATAAACCTCTCCGTAGGCACCCGCCATTCTCTGTGCGTTTGGTTTGCTTGTTTCTTGACAGCGCTTTTTACAATCTGGCCTTTTTTTAACCAACCTCTGCAAAGGATGCAGGAGATGTCCCTGACGTGCTTTCAAAGGACTTTTTCCAAGTGCTTGTTTTATTTATTAAATGTCTATCTGGTAAACATTGTTTTGTAAACTCTAAGTGGACTGTATCATTTGCCATTGTTAACCATTTTACACTTTAGTTTAAATAATTTTTCCTCAGCTGTAAATATTATGATACAGAATTAATAAGAGAAAACATATAACTTTGTAAACAAAAGTCCTGTCTTTCTTTGGCTTATGAGAAACATAATGGAAATAAAACAGGACATTGATATAATAGCACAAAATGACATTCTTAAATGGGCACAGGAGAAATTTCCTGGGAAAGTTCACATCTAAAACAACAAAAATGATGTACTACCTAGTGATATGGAAAATAAAGGCAGATGCCTCCTTTACATGAATTATTATGAATAAAAATTTTAAATCCAAGAAACATAATGAGCAATATAATTTTGTTAAGATGCAAATACATTATGTACAAAGTCCCACACACATCAATCATGTATTTGATGATTTTACTTTGAGGTTCAACACTCAATGGCTCCTGGGGAAGCCGTGGGTGGTGCCACCTTCTCCCTGGATGCACTGTCACTATGTCATCAAGGCCCCCAGCCCTGTCCTACCTGACCTGGGCCGGGAGCCCACCCTGTCACACTCTTTCTACCGTCCTTGCAGGGAGATGGTTCCACTCCCTGCTACTCCTCAGTGGCATTGCTCAGGGTCTGGTCCCTGGTGTTTGAGCTGCAGTTGAGGAACTGGGGTGCTGGCTGTTGGCTTGCTATTGACTTCACACCTCAGCAGCTGTCCCTTTAAGTCCCTCACATCACTGTGCCCTACAGCCAGTCCCTGCCCTCTGCCTAAGATGCCATTGCAAAGAAGGAGCGGACTCATGAAACAGTTCATCACGCAGCCAGGTCTTGTCAGCCTGTGACCTTCAGCCCCTTCTCCCACACCCTCACCTGGCTGCAGCATGAGCAGCTACACTTTGGTCCCATACCAAAGGCAAGGTGTCTTCCCTTGCTCATCAATTTGCCAGCTTGTGGCTTTGCATAATGTCCTCAGATCACAAGGGGATTTCTTAACAGATGTCCTCATGTGGGTCATTTTTAAAGCTTGTAACCAGACCAGCAATCCTTATATGTACTTTATTTTTTTGTTTATGCTGCTGCTTCCTTTGTTTTATTAGATTGTGCTAATTACCGGTGGCTCTTGGTTCACAGAAATAAAGAATTCCAAAACAACCAAGATGTACGCCTTCTGCCTTTCCTGATCAGGTGCCTTGTGCCAGTTTGGCTCAGCTTATTGCTAAGAATAAGCTCATACTCACAGTGGACGGAGTATGAGCATGGCCCGGGGTAAGGCGCTCTTGCCAGAATGGGCTCTGGTTAACTACATCACCCCACTGACCCATCCTGCCTGGCTCTAACTAAAAATGGTCATACCTGTCCCACTGTCCCATGCGCTAAATACTACTCTCTGTCCTGCTTGCTCAACTGACAAAAAAAAAAAAAAAACAGGTACTTATGGACAGTTCTGTTAAACGTTTAATATTCATATTACACATTAAATACAGTCACATGGCAGCAGCAATTTTATTAGGTAGTGTCCAAAAGATTCCAGAGTAAGTTTGGCCATTATGTAACCTAGACGGCTTTACCTGTAGCACAAACTAGTAAGAGGACTCCCCACCCCCACCCCGGCCTCTGGTGAGCTGATGAGCTATGGCTTGTTAGGTCTCCCTGGAGTTAGGGCTGAGCAGTATCAACCCTTCAGTTGTGAAAGGAGAGTTGATTTTATCACCTGAATACTTAAGCAGAATTTAGACTACCCGCATGTGGAGCTTCTTGGAGTTGTAGATGTTGGAGTCAATCAACCCTGGCCAGGAAGCCAGACACTCTTGCCTGAGTTCCTGCGGTCACATGGAAGAGCCTGGAGCTCAGAGATGCCCCCACAGGCAGAGGCTGCCTTCTCTACTCATTGGGAACCCCACAGATGGCCCCAGTTAGTTCTTTTGTTCTTGGTAAAAGGAATCAATGATGTCTTTGTACTTCTCCAGGACTGTGAGCCGCTTGAGTTTCATGGTAGGACCTAAAAGAGAAATGGGAAGAAGCAAGTGAAGCGCAGGCTCTGCAGATTAAGAGGTGCGGGGCAAAGAGGCAGGTTCAGCAGTGGGCCGGGCCAGGATGGCAGAGCGTGGTGCCAGCCTCTAGACCCAAGCCTGGGCTCACACCCTGAGGAGGCTCCTGTGCTGGCCAGGCCTGGTTGATGACCAACAGCAGTGAATAGGCCAGAAGTGACTGTAGTTTCTTCCCAGTGGGTGGGGAGGCAGTGCGAGCCACAGCCATCCTGCCTGTGACTTGTGCCCATCCCTAGCCCTCCATTCACTTGGATTCTGCCCCTTGAATGAATATACTTATCCTCCCAGGTTGCACCAGGATTACTTCCCAGTGGATGCCTAAATTTGAAAGTGTTCAAGTCCATAAGATGGCATAGTAGGAGCACCCCACTTTCTGGATCCCCTTCTGTCCCTCTTACAAGCTTGCTTTCTCTCAATAAATGCTTCCTTCTTTAAAAAGAATAAATGATATAATATTTGTGTATAACCTAGACATACCTCCTCTGTGCTCCCCATGCTGGTGCTAGAGATTGAACCTGGGCCTCACAGAGCTACAGTGGTGTGTCAGTTTACAAGCATAATTCTTTCCACATTTCTGGTTGCAAACTGAATTGAGCAAGAACCGAATCAAATTCTATGGTTAGGTTCAATGCTGACCTTAATTCAGTTTTTGTCCACTTTGGTTGGTGAGTAGAATTGTGGAAAGAATTGAGTTAGTGAACCAGGGTACCACTGTATATCCTTGCCTCCCCTCAATTTATTTTTATTTTTTATTTTTTAGTATTTTGAGACAAGCTTTTACTGAACTATTAAGTGGCTTAGACTGGGCCAAAACTTACTGCCTTACCATCCTAGGGTGCTGTGGTTATAGATATTCACCACCATGCCCATCTTTTCCCATATGCTTGCTTTATCTATTCATTTATTTATTGCCCCATATTTAGATAGTCTATAGGTTACTTACAATGCCAAATAAATGCTATGTGAATAGATACACTGTTTAGGGAATAATGCCAAGGAAAAGTCTGTACATGTTTAATACAGGTTCATTAAAAAAAAATATTTTCGGCCAGGGAGATGGCTCAGTAGAATAAGCGCTTGCCTGGAAAGTGCAAGGTCCTGAGTTCAATCCCTGGTACTGCCAAAAAAAAAAAAAAAAAAAA